TTAGAAGTGAGTGTGTGTGAAAGCTGGTCCTGGCTCAGGGACTGCCTTGGCTGGTCCCCTCGGGCTGGTGGGGCGGTGGTGCCCGCAGGGCCAGCCTGTGGCTTGCAGCCCTAGCCATCCAGAGCCAGGTCAGCAGAGCCAGGCCCTCTGGCTCCTGTAATTACCGGGGCGGGAGCTGTGGCTGAGTGTTGGAGCAGGGGTGATTCCTCCAGAGCGGGCCAGCTCTGAGGCCTCCAGAGAAGACCCAGTCCGTCTGAGACGGACCAGCCAATGGCAGGCACGGCCCATCCCTTCATGTCCCTCGGCCCGTCTTTCCAGCCGTCTGCCCCATTTTGGAGAAAAGAACAGTGAGGGGGCACTTTGCCCTGTTCTCTGGTCATGGCCTGGGGCTCCTGCCCCACGAGTTAGCGATCCCTGATGACATTTTAGAACATTTACTGATGACGTACTATGTGCCAGGCAACGTTCTAAGCACTTTCTATAGATTAACCCATTTAAACTCCACAACCATATGAAGCAGATCTTAAAATTAAGACACATCACAGAGCAGGGTGGGGACACAGAAGGTTAAATAACTTGCCTAAGGTCACACAGCAGGTGAGTGGGATGCGGACACAAGGCTTGAACCCAGACAGCTGGCCTCTGGAGGCCATGCTCTTGGGAATTCAGCTGAGTTGGCTCCGAAAGGTGGGGTGAATGCGGGGTGACAATGCCTGTGTTTGGGGGCGTGCCTAGCCCCGGCTGACAAGTCAGGAAGAGACCTCGGGGTCACGTCATCCCAGCCTTGCATCTGAGGCTGGTCTGGGCCAGGGGCTCCCAAGGTCCAGGTGATCTCTTCTACCTTGGCCTTGGTGAGACCTCCCTGATAGCGGGTCAGGATCTGGACCTGGCTTCCCTGTGGTCTACCGGGGGGCTGGCGGGGATGGGGTGGGGTAGCACCGTGAATATCCGTGACCAGCCAGCTCTCGAGGTTACAGACAAGAGCTGCAGGGGAGGGAGTCAGGGGGGTGCCCTGGGAGGCGTGACCTTGGGTCTGGGCCCTGGATACGGGTGGAGGCGGGCCCCCCAGGAAGAGGGCCCGGCTGTCGTCAAGGCTCAGAGGCCTGCAGGCTGTGACACGCACGTTCCAGGGGCCTTGGACCACCTGGGCCAGCGGCTTCGAGTTCGTGAGTCCTGGGGCCTCCCCTCTGGACAGGTGGTTGTGCAGACCTGGGTCATAGGGGCCTCCCACGCTGGAAGTCTGGGCGTCGTTGGGGTGGCAAGAGACAGTCATCACCTTCAGGGAGCTAATCCAGGTAGTGCTGGGGTTGGTAGTGTTACTGATCCTGGGGTCGGGCCAGTGAATTTTGAAGAACTCACGGTGAGTCTGTGTCCTCGCCACAGTTGACAGCTGCTGGGCCGTGGCATCGGCTCCTTGCGCCCAGAACCTGGGCCTCAGGGACATGGGTAATGGGCAAGGGCTGTGTGGGAGGGGGCCGGTGTGGAAGAAGGGGGACTCTCTGGGACCCGCTCAGGGGGCTGTGGGAGCGAAGGGGCTGTGGGCTGGGGAGCACCACGGGGCCGCTCTGGGAATGGGGGGGAGGCATAGGGCCGAGCCTCCAGGAGGGCTGGTTTCAGGGGAGTGAATGGAGGGGAGGACACTGAGTTGGGGGGGCTCTTTTATGAACTTCAGCTGTGAAAGCGGGAGAGAAAATGAGGGGCTGGCAGAGGGGGCAAGTCAGGACTGTTGTCACCACCGGGACGAGAGAGGGGTGCGCACGTGTGTGGGCTGACGTGCAGGGGGCAGAAGTGAGGCCCAGGCCAGGGGTGCCCCAGGGCAGAGTCCCCGGGAGGCAGGAGGGACAGTTGCCTTGGACAAGGGGCGAGACCCCTGGGGCTTGGGAGGGGTATAACTGGGGGTCAGCACTTCTGCTGCTCCGGAACACTTTCTTGGGTCAGGGAGGAGGCCCCTATGGGGATGACCCTGGCAGGGGATCAGGAGAGGCCGGCCTGGCAGCCGTGGCCGTGGGGTGGCTGGGGGCCCCACCTTGCACACCCCAGGCTGGTGGAGGGGCTTGGCCTGGGCTGTCGGAGGCTGCTCCCGGGCGGGAGGCCCGTCCTGGGACCCACCAAACCTCAGCCTCCAGGAAAGAGGCTAAAAATAAGGCTGTGGTGGGAAGAAGGGAGGGGTGTGTGGGCCCGAGCCAGGCTGGGGCCCAGAGGAAAATACGAGACTACCGGCGAGCCGCTGGGACACATGATTCCCGAGCCAGCAGCCAGTGGATCTCGCCTGCCTGTGGCCGTGGCCCCTTCCTGGCTGCTCGGAGGGAGAATAGCCCCTTACGGCTTCAGTGAGGCCCCGTTCCCAGGGAGGGTTCTTCCTGGATCCCAGGCTGCAGACACAAGCCTGGACTCTGGGGTGCTGGGGTCCTTTGTCTTGGGGTCTGGCCTGCCCAGAGTTCCCAGGACGTGCATCTGGAGGTGAAGCGTCCTCCCCCTCCCAGGCGCTGTGTGTATCAGGGGAGGCTTCCTGGAGGCCGAGGCAAGCACTGGCTTGGGGAGCTGCCGGGGCGGAGCATGGCTGTCGGGGGTGGCTAGGCTGTGTCTCGGCGAAGAAGCAAGGGTGCTCTGATTTGCTGGGGACACATGCTGTCTTTACAATGACCATTTTCATGTGGCCTGCCTCCCCCAGAGTGAGCCCACTGCCCTCCTCCTGGCTGTGCCCAGGGGCCCAGGGGGAGTCCTGCCCTCCTGCTGCTGCCCAGCTGCACACCTAACGTGTGACATCTCTGCTCTGCGTTCTGCAGATGACCCGCCCCCACCCAGCTCTACAGTGGCTCCTGAACGTCCCCTCACCCACCCGTCTCTGTCCACAAGCATCCACTGTGGGCTGGCTGGGCGCCGGGCCCTGGGCTGGGGGGTGACAAGAGTGAGGGCCATGCAGGGGCAGAAGAGCACATTTGGTTTCCAGTCTCCTCTCGGACCCTTACGTGCTGTGTGACACATGGGACACGTAATGTGGGGCCGAAAATCCTAGGCAGCAGCAGGATAGAAGGAGCATCTGCAGAGCCTCCCACAGTACTTGGACCTTAGCAGCGACAACTGGTGGCTCTTAGCTCCTAGCCCCAGTGGACCCAAGGAGCGCGTATCCATGTCCCTACACGTCTTCCCTGTCAAACTCGCTAATCCTAGGGTGACGAGTGCTAAAGAATGGACAGGGGAGCATGGGGCCACCTGACTTACTGAGGGTGATGGGAGGGGAGAAACCGGGAAGACTTCCCAGAAGAGGAGGCACCTGAACTAGTCTTGAAGGAGTGGCCGCAATAGCCTACAGGGCAGATGGGGACGGGTGGGCAGTCAGGGGGGCATGAATAGTCTGGGTGGCTAGAGCATGGCATGGGGGGCTGGTGGCGGGGTGGGAAGGGCTGGACCTGAAGCCTGTGTCCTGGTGAAGGCTGGGGTCCTCGTCTGAGGCTGATGGCATGAGAGAGGGCAGAGAATGGAGGCCCCTGCTCAGAGGTGGGAGCAAACGGGTTGGGGCTAGGAGGTGAGTGCAGGTGGTTCCCCAAGGTTGGGCCCATTTGGTGGCCCAGGACAGGCCCCTGGCTTCTGCCTTCGGGGCATGGCCACAGCCTGCCCTGGTTATTAAGTCATTAACTGGGCCTCACACAGCCTCTTCATTATGGGTAATTATGGTAAATCCTCGGCATTCACAAGGAGGAGGCCAGTGTCTCTCGGCTGTCAGGCCGCATCCCAGGAAAAGGCTCTCAGGAGGACAGCCGCCAACAGGAGCCTCTCGCAGGCCTGGGGGTGCCACTCTGCCCACTTTCCTGCTCTGTGACTTGGGGTGTGTGGCTTAACCCCCTCGTGCCTCGGTTTCCCTGTCCAGGGGGGCATAGTCCCGGCCCCATGGGGTCACGTGGGGCTCGAACCAGGAAAGCAGTTATGGCTGAGAGATGTGCACCGTCTTCATCCTCGTGAAGGAGGATCCGCTCCCATCCACTACCATCGTGATGAGCTCTGGGGGTCCCCCGAAGGCAGGCCTGGTCCCTTCCTCGGTCCCCTGCATGGGGGGCGTCCGGGGCAGCCCGCCCCGTCCCCTCTCCTTTCTCCCTTCTCCGTACATATGTGCGGGGGCCCAGGGGAGCCCAGCCCCCTGCTGTCCTCAGAGATAAGCCGAGGGGGGGGGGGCCTGGGGCCTGCAGGGCTGGGGACTTGCTCAGGAGCCTGGTTGAGCTCTGGGAGGGGGGGGCCAGGGGGTTGCTGGCCCCCATGCGGCCGTGGCTCTGTCTGCCCACGGTTGTTGCTGACTTCTAGTTCTTCTGGTTGCCCTCCTGCTCCGCTGCTCCTCCCCCCGAAATGCCAAGTCCTAATGGGGGAGCAGAGATGGCCAGGACTTGGGAGAAGGGCAGGCCTCAGGGATCCCCTTCCCCTGAAGAAGCCTGGAGCCCTGCCTGCCTCCTTCTGCACCTCTGCTCTGGTATCGGAAAAGTGGGGGCCCTGGTGATAACCCCAAGGACAGCTGGGTGGGCGTGTGCACATGCAGGTGAGCAGGTGTGAGCCCTGCCTGTGACCTCTCTGCCTGCTCTCCGGCTGGAAGGCCTCCTTGGCAGCTCTCGGGCTTTGTGGCCTCCCTGAGGGCAGGACCCAAGCTGCGGTGGGGCCACAGGTGGGCAAAAGTTCCAGGCTGGCCGGTGGGAGGCTTGGCTATCTCACAGAGCCAGGTGACCCCAGAGGAGCCCTGCCCCTGTGTGCCTCAGGCCCCTGCAGTGGCCGAGTGGGGGGGGGACCCTATCCTGGGGGTGAGCATGGAAGCCACTGTGGGGGCAGCATGGCAGCTCAGTCTGCAAAGTCCCCGGTGGCCTGGCAAACTGGGCAGAGTGGCGTCCTGTAGATGGGGCCAGGTTGGGCCCTGCCAGGGGGACTGAGGGCTGGGCTTGGCTTGGGGGTCTCCTAGGTGGGCTGGGGGAATAGGGGAGGCCAGGTGTCACACATAAGCACCCTCTGTCTTCCTCTCCCAGGCGTCCTTCTGGACATCCAGCAGCACTTTGGGGTCAAGGACCGAGGTGCCGGCTTGCTGCAGTCAGGTGAGGCCCCCCATCCCCTGCCAGGCCCCTCCCATGCTGGTCTCCTCCTGACTCGCTGGGAAGAACTGGAAAGAATGTGTGCTTTCTCAGACGGCAGCCTGAGGGGGCAGTGGGAGGTGTACAGGAGTGTGGCCACGGCCCTAGAGATGAGCCTTCTTTTTGGGTCCTGGGGTCTCATCAGGACCCACAGGTCCAGGTCCCACCCTGAGGCTGGTGGAGGGAGCTCCTTAGGTTGCTGTGCTGGACGGAGTCAGTGGGGCCTTGGTGACCCTGTCTCCGCACCCCCGCCCCGGCCAAAGCTTCCATCGCCACCAGGCTGGGGACCCTCTCCTAGATGTCAAAGCAGGAAATCCCCTCGGTCCGTCCCCGGGCAGGGGCCTGAGAGCCTGGCTCCTGGGTGAGTCCTGGGCCTGAGGTCCTCTGCCCCCTGGGCTGGGGCAGTGTGGCGGGCTGTGAGCAGTCATCCCTGCGTTTCTGCCCCGTACGGCAGGGCCCATGCCTCCTTGGTCCCTGCCTGACCCACTCCGTGGCCCCCAGCTTGCTGTGTGGCCGAGGGCCTGGTTCCTTTGGCTCTGATTCTCTTTGGCTCTGGAGTCCATCTGTTGTGAGGCCCGGTCAGACGTGTGGGAGGAAGTCCATGGTCTGCATTCCAGTGTGTGAACCCCTTCCCCGGCCTGGGCTCCCCGGGGAGGGAGGGTGGAGGGAGCTGGCTCTGTCCAGGGACCTGCCTGACCTGTCTAGGCAGCATTCCAGGGAGGGCTGTGCCAGGCCAGGCTCCTAGAGCAGGCAGCTCAGCCAGGCCCTGCAGCCTGCCCCTGTCCCCAGGTGGGGTCTTTGGGGCTCAAAGAGAGGGTATGCGAGTTTCAGGGCTCAGCCCCAACATTCAGTTGAGTGAGCTGGGACAGGGGCAGGGCTGTGTGGTCCAGCACCCGCAGGGTGACCAGTCCCTGCCTCTGCCCACATCACTCCACCCGGGACAGGAGCCCAGACCTGTCCCCGGGCCCTCCCCCCCTTGCTGGGCCTCCCTGCTGGGCCAGAGCCAGGCAGCCTGCCCCAGGACAGGTGCCTCCAGCCTCCTGGGCTCTGAGCACACGGTAACTGCCACTCAGCCTGGAAGAGAGCGTTTCAGCCAGATGTAGCGTTGGCGGGCGGGGGGTGGGAATGGCAGGAGAGAGCCCAGCTTTCCAGCCCCCTCCCTCCATGGCCCCCGAGGCCCTGGGGACCCGGCTGAGTCTCATCCCCTCCTGGCCTTGCCGCCTGACAGGGAGCCAGGATCTGCCCCAGCTTCCTCCACTCAACCCCGCCAGTGGGGTCAGGGCCAGTGCAGCTCCCGGGGAGAGGCGGGAGGTGGTGAGGCTCCCAGGGCTTATGTCCGTGGCCACCTTCCCGGCTGAGAGAGAGAGGTCACGGCGGCCCCCGCTGACCCCTGGTGACCTGGCTGGAGGTGGACAAAAGAGCCAGCAGCTCTTCTGGTTCTTCCCGCCAGGAGCTCCCTCTGCAGCTTTCCTTCCCAGGCCAAGGGGCAGAGGTCGAGGGAGGAGTGATGACTTGCGGGCCTGGGATGGGAACTCGGTGTAGGCCATCTTCCTGGCTGGGGGGCGGCACACAGGCGGCCACTGGCTTGCAGAGGCCTGTCCCAGGTGTCTGAGCTTCTGGTGTCTCTGTTCTCAGGGTGGCTGCCTCTGGGCCGTGGTGTCTCAGAGTCCCTTACCCACGGCCTTCACCCTACAACCCACCCCCCGTGCAGCTGGGCTGGCCCCCAGAGCCTAGAAGCCGGGCAAGCTAGACCAGGATGTGACTCAGTGGGCAACCAGGCAAATCAGCTAATTGGCCTGGGCCCCAGGCACCTGTCTCTTCCCCAAGCCCTTGATAAGGTCGGAGCCAGGTGGAGGGCGCCAGCCAGGTGCTGCGGTTTGCCCAGATCAAAGGATGAGGCTGAGAGCTGGGTTTTCTGCTCATTTGTGGGCACCAGGAGCTGCTGTGCCCAGAGACGGGGTGGGGGGAGCTGAGGGTCAGGCCTGGGCCTGCCCCCGCTGTTTCTCCTGGGACCAGATCTTGAGAGCTGGCTTGGGAAGAGCCTGCTTTCGGCAGTCCCGTAGCAGACCGTGGCCAGCTCAGAGCCAGGCCCGGAGTCCCTGCAGAAGCCAAGCTCAGCCTCTGTGATTACGGCTCTTGCTGTCTTGGGAAATCAGGGGCCTCCAGAGCCTACACCCAAAGGGGTAGCTGCTGCTGAGCCCACTGCTGGCCAGGCCCTGGGCTGGGCTCTGCCACAGGCTCTGTCCCCACATTCCAGTACATTCCCTCTATCAGTGGAACGGAAAACATGTCCAGTTACCACTAGGCACAGGGGGCACCGTGGGGGCCGGGGGGGGGGGGGGGCTCTGCCTGGCGGCAGGTGGGTAAGACTTCCCCGAGGAGGGGACATTTGAGTGGGGCTTTGAAGGATGAGTTAGAGTTTGTTCGGGGCATAGGATGTCCAGTCACCCTCCTTCTCCCACTCCGAGCTGGAGAAAATATGCCAAGAAAACATTTAAATTACATAGCTGAGCTTGAAAGCTCAAGCTAGCAGGGGAATTCCCAGGTGCCAGAAGCAGAGAATTGAACCGAAAAACAGGAGTGGGCGCCGGTATTAAAGCCAAGTGTTGCAGAGAGCCTGGGGACCAGTATCTGTCATAGGAGCTTGTTATGGTATTTTTAGTGTAAACATTTTTACGATGAGAAATTTTAAATACACAGAAAGAGTAGAGTGGCATGATGAAGCTCCACAGAGCTGTCGCACTCGGGCCCAGTGTCCAGGCTCCGGGGTTTCTTTGTGCTGAGGATGGGCCTGTGCAGCCTCGGCTTCCAGCGTCGCGTGGGTGACTCGGTTTCCCCCCAGAGCCCAGGGCTGTGCCCCCAGGGCCAGTGGCAGTTTCTCTGTCTCTGAGGGGACGTGTCCGTCTGGCTCGGGCTCTCTGCAGAGAGCTGGAGGGTTTCCAGGCCCTTCCACACGAAGGACCCCGCAGAGGCCGATCTAGGGCTGCTCCTTGGGGAAGCCTTCGTGATCCGGGGCCTGTGTGAGACACAGATAGCGGTGCCTACTGAGGACAGACTCAAACCGAAAATGAGCAGAGCCCACAGGGAGGAGGCCAGCCGGCGCTGGAGAATGGGGAAACCGGTCTCTGAACTGCCTTTAGGGCTTCAGTGCTATGTGAGCCTAGTTTCCAAAGTTCCACAGGAAGCGTAGCACTTACAAGACGGGAAGAGCACCTTAGTGAACAAGAGCAGGGAGCTACTTCAAAGACCTCAGCTCAAAATTCTGGACGTGAAAAGTGTAAGCACTGAAATTTAACAACGTAACAACTAGACCCAGTCGAAGAGAAAATTAGTAAATCAGAAGATGGGTCTGAGGAAAGCCGCAGGTCCAGGGGAGGGGAGGGAGAGTGAAGGCTCCGGTGAGTGGAGTGTGAGGAGAGCGGAGGGCAGGGGTCAGGGTCACGCTGCAAAAGGCATCTGGCTTTTGTCTTGGGGTAGTGGGGAGCCAGAGAAGGCTCTGGGGCAGGCAGGTCCCGTCGGAGGTATGAACCAGGGTGTTCTCTCGGGGGCGGAGCGTGGGGGTGGATGGGAGAGGGGAGGCCGCTCGGGGCTGTGGTTGGAGCAGTCATGAGGGTGTTCCAGGTTGGGGATGGGGACAGAGGAAGAGCCGGCTCAGACTGAAACCAGACGGCAGCTCTGCTTTGGGGCCGTCTCCTTCTGGGCTTGCTCCCTCCCCACTTCATCCAGCAAGGCCGTAGCTGGGCCACCCCCGGGGCCGTACCCCCGGGGCCGTCCTGTCCCAGGGAGGCCTAAGAACCCATCGCCCCGGGGCCTGAGGGGCCAGCCCAGGGCTTCCGTCCCGAGCAGCGGGTGGGGTGGCCAGGCTGCCCTGGGCATCCCTCCTCCATGTCCTGTGGGCAGAGCCTGCCTGAGTAGCCCTCCCTGCGCACAGGACATGGAGGATGGCAAGTCTCCCCAGATAACAGTTTGGCCAGATCTGGACTTTGTAAAAATAGCCCTGGCTCAGCTCAGGCTGAGGTCGGGGCTGGACCCGAGCTCCAAGGCCACTGCTGGGGAGCCCAGGGGTCCCCCAGCTCAGACCTCAGCCGCTCCATCTCCGGGACCATCTTCCGGGGTTCAACAGGGCCAAGTGTGCCCCGAGCGGGGCTCGACAGCCCCACGGGTGGGGCCGGAGGGGCTCAGAGTCCTCAGTGGGGTGGTCCTGGGCTCCTGGGTGCAGGCCGCTCTGCAGATCCACAGAGAAGGCCCTCAGCCAGCACACTGCCCCTGGGGCTCAGGAGCCTGGGCAGCCCCCTACCGACTTCTCCCCAGCCCTGTGGGGTGGGGGCACCCCTTGTCCCACAGAGAGGCTCCGAGGCCCTGCCCCCTCTGCCCTGGCTCCCTGCCTGCCGGCCCCATTGTCCCCGTCCTGCGGGCTCAGCACACGTGAGCTGCCGAGGGCTTCCCCACACCCGGACCACAGGATGTGCTCGTGTGGGAACTGCTGGGAAAGCCGCCCCTTACCGAGATCAGGGTGGGGCCACCCGGCTGCCCAGAAAGCTCTCCTCCGACAAAGACTGCAGGACTGGGGGTGGGGGGCAGGGAAGCTTCTAGCCCGGCTGTGTTTATTTCCAGCCGAGTGACCGCTGACCACGTAAGCCTCTGCACCCCCACCAGGTACCAGGTCCTCTGCCCTTCCTTCTGCCGGGAACGGGTTTCCTTCTCTCCCTGCCCTGATCTTGTTCAGGCCCCTACGCCGGCCTGTGATGTCCCTGAGGGCCTGGACGGGTCTCCTCTCTTGTCTGCCCCAAGCAGAGGGGAGGGCTGCACAGACTGATCGATCGCTGTCCCTCCTGACCTTCGACACCCTTATCTCCAAGGGTCCAGGGTCAGGATGGTCGCTGTGTCCTTTTGGGTGAGTTCCTCCCCCTGCCAGTGGCCCAGCTCTAAAGTGGGATGACATGGTGGAGCTCGGTTGGGGCCAGGCAGTGAGGACAGGGTGTGCCTGCTCGCACAGGAGCCCGACCTGCAGTCCTGGGCGGCAGTGCTCTAGACGGGCCGGCGGAGAGCCAGGTGTCAGCTCCACTGCGGGCAGCAAGTGGGGGTGGCCCGGGGCGGCTCTCCCCTTGGGTCCGTCCACCTTCTCCTTGAAGGGGGAGAGTGGACATGCCGTGGTTGTCCACGGGATCTTCCAGCGCCTTCCCCTGCTCTGGCCCGGCCCACCTTCCTACTGTCCCCCTTCCCCACACTGCAGTCTGTGGTGTGATTTAGAGCGAGGACCCTGGAGTTAGACAAACGGGGTTTAACCTCTGGCTCGGCCACCCAACGGGCTGTGTGACATCACTCCCTTCGGCCTCTGTACCTTCCTGTGGGATGAAGGGTATAGAGAGGTGCTTAGGTCCAGGGCATGTGCTCGGACCCACGGTTGGTAAGTGTTCCGTAACGACAACTGAGGTTCTTGGTAACAGTAAACCCCTTGCCGCCTTAACCCTCATGCGGTATTGCTCATAAGACTTGTGATTTATAGTTTAGTGTATGGTCTTGATCCTAAGTATGATCATCCTGGTAAACTCCTATGCATCCTTCAGTGCCCCGCTCTGGTATCACCACCTCCATGAAGCCTCTCTCCACTCTGCTTGGCCCTCCTTGCTGGTTTCCAGACTGGCCAACCCATGGATTGGGGCCACTCTTACTCTGATTTTTTCTGCCTACCCCCCCCACCCTCCCAGCACAGACAGGCACAGAGGGAACAAGTCTTCCTCTAAGTCCTGACAAGGCCCACCTCCTGGTCTGATGTCAGGCAGGCCCAGCAGGAAAATTCTTTTTCTAGATATGAGGAAGTAATTCCTGTGTTGACTAATCTAAACAAGGGCCCAGTGTTGACTGAGGCTGCGGGCTCTGGGTGGGGCCTGGCGTCAAGCACCTTGGGCACTATCTTATCCCGCACTCCGAGCAACCGCGGAGCTGCTATTTTTATCTTCATTTTACAGACGAGGAGGCGATTGTTAGATTTTCAGGAATTGCGTGAGCTGGCTGTTGCCCACAACCATTACTAAACAGTGGATTATGTGAACTTATAAACGTCTTACATTCAAAACCAAGGTAGTAAATGCTGAAAACTCGCCCCCCCAGCACCTCACGGCGTCTGGCGATCACCTGTGCTGGTAAGGCTGTTAACGGCCCTTGCACCTGTTCCGCGGAGGGACGTGTGTGCTCGGCGCCGGGTGAGCACACGCCGCCTCCTGACTCTGGTGGCCTGAGGTCAGCGCGGTGGGCGTCTTCACACCAGCTGGCAAACCCCACCCATCGGTGCCCCCACCCCCACTTTTTTGGAGAGCCAGTTGTGAAACACCAGCCACAGCACTGAACGGAGGGACAGAGAGGTGGCGACCTGCGCAGGGTCACCCAGCTGGGGAAGAGAGCTGACCGGGTCTCTGGTGCCCGGATCCACGCCCCTCGATGCCGGTTCTGCCCCCAGCAGCCACACGCGCACCGTCCTGCTCACCAGAACGAGGGGGGGACAGTCAGCCTCCTCTAGCCCGGGCCTCTCCCCTGGTTCACCCTGCCCCCCCTTCCCCCCCCCCCCGCTTTCTCTTCTTCCCGCCCGCGCCTGCCGGAATCAGGTCTGAGGGAGAAGCCAGGCCTGTATGTGCACTCAGCCTGGCGGTCGCAGCCCAGCCAACTGGCCACCTCGCCTGCCCACCCTCGGCCATTGTCTGGCCATCTGCCCGCCAGCTGTGGGACTGCCTTCCAGGGGAGGCATGGGGGAGCTGCCTTGCCCCCTGACCCCCAGGGCCTACCCTGCCTCTTTGTCCCACCTGGGGCCCCAAGGCCCCACCCATCACTGGCATCCCCACAGAGTCCTCTGACAAGCCGCCACTCTCTTGTTCTAGAAGAGCAAAACCAGGTCAGGTTGCCGCCCTGCTCAGCCACGGAAGCCACGGTCACCACCGTGGGCCAGGAGGCCCTGCCCCATCTGGCCTCCCCCTCCGTCCCTCTGCTCCGGCCACTCTGGCCTCTTTGCTGTCCGTCAGATATGCGAGGCAGACTCCTGCCCCAGGGCCTTTGCACTCGCTGTTCTTGCCCCAATATTTGCATGATTTGTTTCCTTATCTCCTCCTTATCTCCTTCAGGTCTTTGCTGAAATGTCACCTCCTTTGACCCTTCTGTTTAAAGTTGACAGCATTTCCTGTCTCCTGTTTCTGCCCTGTTACCCTCCGTAGCCTTGTCACCGTCTGACACACCACAGTTTTCATTTTATCATCGGTTTCTTCTGCCCAAGAGGGCAGGAATTTCTGTCTGTCTTGTTGCATGGACGAATGAGTGAATGAACAAAGACTGTGTTTGCAGAGGTCAGGGAGGCGTTCTGCAGCCTGCTGGAAGTGCGGGTGGGAGACCTGGGGCTTTGCTGTATGACCTTGGGCAGGTCCCTTCCCCTCTCTGACCCTCTTTCCCAAGTGTAATAAGGAGAGCCGTGTGGGAGGTACAAGGAACAGGGGCTTCGGAGTCAGAGAAGGGATCAAAGCGCCAGAGGACTTTTGCCGCCAGTGGGGCCTTGGGCAAGTCTCCTCTCCCCACTTCTGCAAGGTGGGGTGGGGTTGGGAGCATACACACAGCGCCAGGTGGTGAGCTCCTGGCATGTAAAATGCCAAACAAATCAATTTTCACTGTTTCACAAGTCTCCCAAGGGCTCGCCCGATGGACAAGCTGGGCCTGCGGCAAAGTGGGTGGGGCTGTAGGATCGCCCTCCCCTGGGCCCAGGCTGCCTCCTGCGCCCCTGGCCCCAGCCGAGGTTGTCCCCTGGCCCCTGGGCTCAGGCTGGGCGGTGAGGGCCCCTGGGCACGGCCACAGGGACCCCGCCGCCCGTCACGCTCTCCCCTTCCTGCACAGTGTTCATCTGCAGCTTCATGGTGGCCGCCCCCATCTTCGGCTACCTGGGTGACCGCTTCAACAGGAAAGTGATCCTCAGCTGCGGCATCTTCTTCTGGTCTGCGGTCACCTTCTCCAGCTCCTTCATCCCCCAGCAGGTGAGGCCTGTCGGGCTTGCCCCCCGCACGTCCCCTTCCCTCCAGTGCCGGCCACTCTCACCTGTCCTCGTCCACACTGGGGTTCTGGCCTCCTTGCTCGAGCCCCAGACAGCGTCTTCCAAGTGCAGTGGGATGAGGGGTCTCAGGGACTTTTATAAGCTGGCCCTGCAGACAGGGAGGGCCTTCCCGCGTGCTGACCAGAGCCGGGGGGACTTGCAGCCCTGTGTGGCCTCCTCTTTCCGAGCTGCCTCTGATTCGGGGAGCAACAGCAGAACCAGTCCGGTCTAGGGGTCAGGGCCCTCTGGTTCTAGTCCGAGTTCTGCCATCATCTCGCTGTGTGACCCCAGGTGAGTCACTACGCCTCTCTGCGCCTTGCGCAGTTTGCTCTTTTCTGGTGTTTTTTTTTTTAAGTAAACTCTGTGCCCAACGTGGGGCTCGAACTCATGACCCTGAGGTCAGGAGACGTGTGCTCTATCGACTGAGCCAGCCAGGCGCCCCGCACACAGTTTGCTCTTTGTGCAATAACCAGCGAACCGCTCGGGTCAGAGTCCGAGGGCGGCAGGCATCACCTCGCCTTAAGGAAGGTGTTTCTCCCTCGGCTCCCGCAGTTCTGGGTCTGAATGTCGCGACTCTGTTGTCCGTTCAGACTTGTGATCCGGAGAGCCTCAGCTTCTGCATCTGTGAAACGGAAAGAGTTCTTCTCAGCTTGAAGTTTCCTTGTGCCCAGACCCTGGAACATGGCAGGTTCAACAAATCATAGTTTCTGTTCTTTCTTCCACAAGGGAGACCTGTTGCTTTGAGAGGTAGTGAGTTCCCATCACTAGGAGTGTTCAAGCTGAGGAAGGACGGTCCTGTGGTGGTTGCTGTGGAGGGAGAAGACCAGGATCCGTCTTCAAGCACTTTCGGCCTTGGGCGTAAAGGAGAAGACCCTGTGCCTGTCCTTGGGGGCTCCCAGGCTGGGCATGGGAAGACGGGACGGGAGTCCCCATGCTCACAGCCTTCACGAAGTACAAAGTGCTGGGAGTCCTCGCTGAAGAGGCTCTTCTTCAAGAGTCTCTTCAAATCCATGGAGTCGGGGAAGGCTTCCTGGAGGAGGCGACATTTGCGCTGGGAAGGCAGGACAGGGAGGTAGGGCCTTTTGGTGGGTGGGTTAGGCAGAGGGAGCAAACCCACGGAAGCAGTAATGGGTCCCCAAAGCGGGAGAGTGTTTTGGGCCGAAAGGAGAGCAGGGACCAGGTTCATGGAGAGCCTTGAATGCCAGGTTGGAGGGTCTGGTCTTCCCCCTTGAGGGCAGGGGTGAGTCGGGGTGACATGGAGCAGGGAGAGGCTGGAGGCAGGGGCACAGGAACCAGCAGGTTTGAGTACAACCTCATGGGGAAGGATCAGGCCATGGTCAAAAATGGGGCCTGGACCAGACGCCTCTGGGCCCCCCGGGCCTTGCCCTGCCACTGGCCAGGCCCCTGGCCCTCTGACCCTGGGTGCCACTTCCAGAACGGAGCTGCGAGCCCAGGACCGCGATGCCGGCAGCTCCGGGGGTGCGGGCAGGCCGGTGGAGGCAGAGAGACGATCCCCCGCCCCCCGTTAGTCTGTGGACTCCCTGCACTCACTGTCCCAGCCCCGCGCGGGTTCTCCTTGGGCCTTGGCAGTATGGTTCTGAAGCTGATTTGGCAGAGGACGTGCCCAGGAACAGCCAAGACCATGGGGGAAATGCCCATGGAAGGGGCTCGCCCTGTGGGTCCTCACGGAGCACCGTTCTAACCCAACAGTGGGCTGACCGTGAAGCCCTTCCGCGGGGGCCCAGTGTCGGGTGACAGGTGCGCCGAACGCGGCTCGGGCAGCTTTGCCTCTCCGTCTGGATGAAAGATAAACCGTAGTTCAAAACCAGTTCCAGACACGTGAAAATGAAGTAAAAAGCAAAGTATAAGAATCTAGAGCTATAAATCCGCAAGAAAAAAGCCAGATAACCTGGCAGGAAAGTGGGCAAAGGGTGGTGAACCCAGCAACTCCAGGAGGAGATGGTCCTCGACTCCAGCCACCGGGGAAATGCAAATTGAAACAACGAGATGCCATTTCACACCCATCAGATGGGCCACAGTTAAGGTTGCCGATACCAAGTGTTCTCAAAGCTAGTGACTTGGCCGCGGGGCCTCTTTGGAGAGTGAAGCGCCAGGATTCCGCAGAAGCCTCGATGCGTGCGCCCCAGCCGCCCCCGGCGAGGTGCGCTCCCCAGAGAGGAACCCCGGCCCGCGGACACGGCGCACGCATGCCACGGCGTTCGTGATGGTCTCGTAGCAGAAGAGGGGCGTGTGCAGAAGAAACAGGTGCATTCCTGCCGTGAGACTCTTGGCAGCCGGGGCATGAACTGCATCTACATCGAGCAGCATAAATGGGCTTCCGGAACACGTGCATGAGGGCAAAGCCAGGTGTGGGCAGAGGGCACGGAACGGTCCCTTTGGGGTGCATGTTTTGAAAGCATGCGGGGGACACACTGCTGCTCGTTGTGGGGCCACGGCGTAAGGGATGCACCATGTAGCGGGTTCCCGGGGGAGGCGTGGGACTGTCCACGCGCTCTCATACCAAGGAGAATGAGGAAATTTCTAAGACCTAGCAAATGATGCATTAAGGAATATTGTCGTCATTTGGGGAGGGGGCGGGCCTTCCGGAGCAAGATGTGCAATCCAGAGGCCATCAGGGGAAAATCACCAGGCTGGACAGCATCGGATCAGACCCCACAAACAAAGGGGAAGGGCCGGTGACGAATGGCGCTTGTCGCATCTGTCATGAAGGGTCAATACCCACGATACCTACAACGCTCATAGAAATCAAGATAAGACAAACAGCCAACAGCAAAGTAGGCACAGGCAGTGGGCAGCTGAGCCCCAGAGAGAGGGGCTGAGGTGAGGGGGTGGGGGACACAGACGGTGCGCGGCGCAGGGCTGGACGGGCAGTCTGGCCGTGCAGGGGGCGGGCCCGGAGGGGGACGGGCAGATGGGAGAGAGGGAAGCAGGAGACCCGGAGGAGGGCAGCGTGTGGGTGAAGCTGGCCAGATGGGTGGTCAGGGTGGGGCCGGGGAAAGATGACCAGGCTGGGTTCTCAGGCCTTGGGCAGCTGGGGGGATGGAGGGGCCGCGTGCGCATCACAGGGGGAGGGCCGTTGGCAGCTAGAACGGCCCCACCCTTCCCGGCTCAGCTGGGCTTCGCTCTTTGATGTGTCTGTGGGGGCAGGGGGCGCAGAGCCCACCAGCTGCCCTGCCCGCTCCTCATGCACACGGGGCCCTCCATGCTGCCAGGGCCAGCCCGGCCGCCCTGCCTGGGGTCAGGGTGGGGGGACATGCGGCTCCCGAGGTGGGGCCAGAGCCCAGAGAGGAGGTCTTGCCCTTGGGGGGAGGCAGTGGGGACACCGAGGGATCTGTCTGGGCCACGCCTGCAGCTGTCCACCTGTGGAAATCCCGGCCAGATCCGCCAAGGCCGGGAGTCAGTCCCTGCCAGGCCGCGGGGGCTGGGCAGTGGCGTGGGGACCGAGGGTGAGCCCCGCATTGTCTGCCCGTCCACAGCACTTCTGGCTGTTGGTCCTGTCCCGGGGCCTGGTGGGCGTCGGAGAGGCCAGCTACTCCACCATCGCGCCCACCATCATAGGCGACCTCTTCACCAAGAACACGCGCACGCTCATGCTCTCGGCCTTCTACTTCGCCATCCCGCTGGGCAGGTGAGGCTCCCCACCGGCTCCCCGCACAAGTCCCACCACCGCCTCTCCCTGAGGTTGGCGCTCTGTGGCCCAAACGCGCGGTGGCCAGCCTTGGAGCAACACCCGCAGGGGGGTGGCGGGGGGTGGCCTTCCTCCCACCCTGGTGAGCATCACCTGCGCGCGGCCTGACTCCCTGCGCTGTGTCCTCGGCAGTGGCCTGGGCTACATCACGGGCTCCAGCGTCAAGCAGGCGGCCGGAGACTGGCACTGGGCCCTGCGGGTAAGGACACCCCCGACCAGCCCTCGCCCAGGGTCCCCCAGAGACTCGGACAGAGCCTCAGCCTCCAGGCCTCCACCTCGGGGGCCTGGGCCCCCCAAGATCAGTGTACCAGGGGCACTGGGGAGCCAGACCCGGTCGTCCTGCAGCCTCAGGGGCCCGGTCAGACAGGACGGGGGACGCCCTTCCACTGTCAGGACATTCCAGGTCTGCGGTGGTGCGTCCTGCTCCAGCCGGTGCTCGGGGGAGGCCGAGATGCGGCCTCTGCGTGGGGGCCCCCGGGGTCTGGAGCCCCTTCCTGTCCTGAGGGAGGGTTCAGGCGAGTCTGCCAAGGCCCCAGGACAGTGCAATCAGAGGAAACAGAGATCCCCAGGCTCGCGGAGGAGCGGAAGCTTAAGACAAAGTGTTTTTTCCTCAAAAGCAGGAAGGAAGCAGCCTCCGTGGAATTTCTTGATGGGGCACAGGGAGAGGAACTCCCCCGCCCATGGGCTCGCAGGCCTCTTGGGGGTGGGGACGGGCCTCCCTGCTCTCCAGCGGGGGTTGGGGGGGCTGGTGTCTCTGAGGCTCTGTTCCCGACCTTGGGCTGCACTCAGGGGAGACCACGTGGGCCCCTCCCAAGCCATGACCTACCTGCTCATCAGCGGGAAGCTTCGTGCCCGCCAGGACTGCCCCAGGCCCCATCCTCATCGTGGTTCCAGAGTCGGTCCCTCTGTGCGTCCTTCGTCTGTCTGTCCCCCTCCTCCCGCACCCTTCAGCCCCCTCCCATCCCGCCCCCTGCTCTGGACGGCCCGGCGGGAGCGCCTGGCGGCTCAGCGCCGACGGGGCCTGGGGTCCCACCGTGTGCCCCTGCCCCACCAGGTGTCCCCCATCGCGGGCATGATCACAGGCACGCTCATCCTCATTCTGGTTCCGGCCACCAAGAGGGGCCACGCCGACCAGCTCGGGGGGCAGCTCAAGGTGCACACGTCGTGGCTCCGCGACATGAAGGCCCTGATCCGCAAGTGAGCGCTGCCGGGAAGGGTCTGGCGGGAACGGGGCCGGGGGAGGCGGGAGGACCCTCCCTGCGGGGCAGCCCTGGTCCCCGCAGCCCTGGGTGCTGGCAGTGGCGCTTGGGCCTCCGGTGGGTACCCACTCTTGCAGCCCGAGCCCGAGGGGCGGGGAAGGGCGGCCTCGGGGGCCCCGCTCAGTGTCGCTGCCCTGGCCTCCCCTCAGCCGCAGCTACGTCTTCTCCTCCCTGGCCACGTCGGCCGTGTCCTTCGCCACAGGGGCCCTGGGCATGTGGATCCCGTTGTACTTGCACCGCGCTCAGGTTGTGCAGAAGACAGCAGAGATGTGCAGCAACCCGCCGTGTGGGGCCAAGGACAGGTGGGGCCGGGCTGGGGGCCGGGGTGGCCAGGGGTGCTGTGCAGGAGCGCCGGCCCCTCCGCCCAGCCTGGCCCCGCACCGAGCCGCGCCCCACTGCCCTCTGTCCCCACAGCCTCATCTTCGGGGCCATCACCTGCTTTACCGGCTTTCTGGGTGTGGCCACGGGGGCAGGAGCCACGCGCTGGTGCCGCCTACGGACCCAGCGGGCCGACCCGCTGGTGTGTGCTGTGGGCATGCTGGGCTCTGCCATCTTCATCTGCCTCATTTTTGTGGCTGCCAAGAGTAGCATCGTGGGGGCCTATGTGAGTGTGGTGGAGGGTGCACGGGTGGGGGCGCGGCCTCTGGCAGAGGACGTGCAGTCTGGCTCGCAGGGCCCCTCCCCATGGGAGGCACCTGCCTGCCCGTTCCCGCTCTGTCCAGGGCCTGTCCAGGGCCCCGGGTGTCCTTCCGGGCCGCCGGCATGCCTTGAAGTCCCCCTGTATCCTGCAAATGCCTGGGAGCCTGCGCGCTCGGCGCTGCGGACCCCGGGGAGGGGTGGGAGGCTTGTGTGGGGGGGTGCTCCCTGCCAACAGCCAGGCGGAGAGCTGCAATGGCTGTTCTGGTCTCTCCTGGACAGATCTGCATCTTTGTTGGGGAGACACTGCTCTTTTCTAACTGGGCCATCACCGCGGACATCCTCATGGTGAGGCGGCCAGCCCAGGCTTCTGGACTCCTGGGGCAGCCTTGGAGAGGGTGGTGAAGGGGCGGGAGGCTGGCAGGGCCCGTGGGGGGTGGACAGCAGGCCGGGCAAGCTGGGGAGGCGGGCCTGGAGGCAGAACCCTGGGCAAGCAGAGGGACGGGGGTGGGACTGGGTGGGGAGGGGGCTGTCTGCAGGCTCTGTGTGGCCAAGAGGCTGGCAGTGCCAGGCTGGCCTGAGGGGGTGCTGCCGGCTAGCTCCTCCCCTGGGTCTGAGCTCCCCGAGCCCTGCCTTCCCAGCCCAGCCCGGGTCCCAGGCGTGCCTGCCCAAGCGCCCGCGGCTGGGCCGGGCGGACAGAGGCCGTGTTCACGGGGCCAACAATGGGTGCCTGACCAGCCAGCCAGGGACAAAGGGCCGTCTGAGCTGTGGCAGGGGCTGTGTCCCTGGGAGGAACCGGGAGGGGGTGTGGCCCGGACAACTCGCAGCACGCAGTCTGAGGGGCGAGGTGCCTGTAGCTCCTGTTCTGGGGGGCCCTCCCGGTCAGGGCCAGGAGGGGATGGGAGAAGGGAGCGTGGGGCCTGCGGTGGGGAGGGTGTCTGGGAGCCACTAGGCAGGCCTCCCCGGCAGGGCGGCAGCGGGGGGAGTGTCCCTTGGGGTTTGGGGCCACATATGGGGCAGCCCAGGAGATCAGAGTTGGCCTGGTGCTGGGGGTCCTGCCGGCTCTCCTCTTCCAGGAAGCCTGCCCTGCTTCACCTGAGCTCCCCTGCACGTCTGCTTCCCTGGGGGCCAGGCTTCCGTCCGTGGGTGGAGGTGGGGGGTCTGACTCAGCCGCACGGGGAGCCAGGCCGGTGGTGGGGGCCGAGAGTGAAGGAGGAAGTTAGTCTGTGGCGCCGGGCGGGACCCCCATGCCTGCCTCTGGGGTCCCGGGGAAATCATGTCCCGTTTTACTAAGTGTCACAGCCACATGACTAATCACTGCTGGAAATGGGCCACGCAGTCCCATCGGACCAGCCGCCCTTCCCCCCGGCCCTGGAATGAGGGGCCCCGTGGGCCGGCCACCCACCCCGCTGCTCCGAGGCCTCGGAGGGCCTGCCTGGCCTGGGAGGCTCCCGGCTCGGGGGGCTGGGGGCACCCGGGGGTCGGAGCGGAGGCCGTCCGGGCGGGCCAGCCTGGGCCTCGCCGCGTCCTTGTGGAGGGGGACCGGCGTGGTCTTCAGGTCTTGTGGGTTCTGGTGCTAGCGCTGCCGCAGCCATCTGTGTGCCGGGCCCCCGTTTCCTGCCACCCCTGCAGGGCTCCCTGCCACAAGCCCAGGGCAGAACCTCAAGCAGCCAGGGTGGGGAGGCCCGGGGGAGTCCGGGGTGCGGGACCCTAGGAGTGTGGTGAGCCCAGAGATGAGGCCGGTGGCTGTGCCCTCTGACCTCTGACCTGCTGCCTCTCGCACAGTACGTAGTGATCCCCACGAGACGAGCCACGGCCGTCGCCCTGCAGAGCTTCACCTCCCACCTGCTGGGGGACGCCGGGAGCCCCTACCTCATCGGCTTTGTGAGTACGGGTGCGGCCAGGTGGGAGCGGCTTCGGGAGGCGCCCCCTGACACGCTCCCACCCCCACAGATCTCGGACCTGATCCGCCAGAGCACCAAGGACTCCCCGCTTTGGGAGTTCCTGAGCCTGGGCTACGCGCTCATGCTCTGCCCCTTCGTGGTGGTCCTGGGCGGCATGTTCTTCCTGGCCACGGCCCTCTTCTTCCTCGGCGACCGCGCCAAGGCTGAGCAGCAGTGAGTGGGCCGGGGCGGGCCTGCTGGCGGGGTTGGACACCTGGTGGGGGGGGGCACGCGGGGTCCCCCGGCGTGCAGACGCGCTGGTGGGGGATGGGCTTCCAGAGCGGGAGCTGCGCGGTGCCCGGCATCCTCCTCCGGTTTTCTGACTTCTTTCTCCTCTCTTCTTCGCTCCTGTCTCTCCTCTCCCCACCCCTGGGCTCTCCCACCTTCCCCTGGGGCTGACGAGGTCCCTGCCCGGCACGTCCGGCCAGCCGGCCCCCGAGATGCGATGTGCCAGAGCAGTGCCCGGGCCCGGCCGCCGCTGATCCGCCACCTTGACCCCCGCCCGTCTCTCCCCCAGGGTGAACCAGCTGGTGATGCCGCCCGCATCCATCAAAGTCTGAGGCCGTGAGTGCAGGCGGGTGGGCGCAGTGGCTCCTGGCAGGAGGGGAGGGGTCAGGGCTGCACCTTGTGGGGGTCCTGGGGAATGTTCTGGAAGCAGGAGCAGCTTCTGGGGCACCTCCTACCAAACCCAGGCTTGGCCCTCTTCCTCCTGAAGTGGCCTGCGTTGGCTTGCTGGGTCATGGGGGCGGGCAGGCTCCCCCTTCCTTCCTCAGAAGGGCTGGGGGCAGGGGTCAGGGCTGGGCCTACCCCATCTGGGACACTGTCCTCCCGAGCCCTCCAAGAAGCCCGCCAGGCCCCGAAGCTGACCTTCCTCTGGGCCTGGCCTCCAGGGGCCGCACTTCCCAGCAGCTCAGGATTCAAGGTCACCGCCCCCTCATGCCCTCGACGCCCAGAGGAAGGCTTGTTTTTTCAAACAGCAGGAAGACGATGGGGAGTGTGGGGTCTGGGCTGGCTCCTCCCAAAGCCCCCCCGTGACCTGGCCCCTCTTTCTAGGTGTCTCTGGGACAGCGAAGAGCCCTCACTGTCACTCTACTTGGGGGGCGTGCCACGGCACGCCGGCCCTGCCGGGCCACCTCAAAGCTTTCTGTGGGACCCGAGGCTGGCCACCCACCCTCTCTGGTCTGTGGCTGTGGAGTGGCCGTGGCTCCAAGAGGCCGTGTCCCCAACTAGCACGGAAGGCTGTGTGTGGGGGAGCCGTGCGGCTGGACAGACTCCCAGCCCCAGGGCCGGGCTGCAGACCCCCTGGGGCCCGGGACGAAGACGGCCCCCACCGGGCGTGTGGGGAGAACCTGGCCTGTCCCCGCCTTATGGGGTCCCGGGCAAGCCTCTGCCCTCCCCAGACCGCGGGCCGAGGCGGCTGGACTTCCCTGCATGGCAGCTTTGAAGACGCGGGGCTCCCGGACTGCGGAGAGAAGGCGGTCCAGCCTCGGGGCGGCACCTCAGGCTCGGGGACGGACTCCGGGCAGAGCCTGGCTGGTTCCCTCCAGAGGACACGGGCCTCGGCTGCCCGGCTGGCTCTCTGCCCACAGGTCCTCCCCGGTGGGGCCATCCACCAGGGGGCTGGCATCTCCAGGGGTGAAGGCCCTGGCGCATCTGCACCCCACCTACGTCCCCCAGGCCTGAGCCCCGCGGCCACCCGCCTCCCCTCTCCCACCCCGGCATCCTGGCACAGACTCCTGCCCCCAGACTGGGCCCTTCCAGGGGCAGGACCCAGGGGACTATTCCCAGAACCTGCACGGCAGCAGCCAGGGTTCTGGCTGCAGAGGACGCAGCCACCCTGCGAGGCTTCCTGTCCCTGGCTGGGGCCGGGAGGTCGAGGCCCGCCCCACACGCAGGCCGCCCGCCGCCTGCACTCCCCCTCTCCCCGCTCCCTGCCCGGCTGCTGGAACCCAGGTGGCCGCAGGAGCCCCCGCAAGCCGCCTGGCCCATGCCGAGCAGCTAGTGCGGCTTCAGCGGGCGCAGGCTCTGGGGCACCTACCGGGTGGGACCCCCAGCGACGTTTTCTTGTTGTGCAAGAACCAGGTCCAAGTGTTGCCTGTTCTTCCTTCCGGAAGCCAAGCCGCTCCTTTATTTTTTAGAGCTGCTGACTGTGAATCTCAGAGTCTTAAGAGAGAAGCCAAATATATTCCTCTTGTAAATGAAGGAATAAACCTATTTAAATCACGCCGCGCTGGCTCCCAGGGCAGGGCAGCCTGGGGTGGGGACACGAGGGGCCCTGCGGACGCGCTCCCTCCGGTGCCGGACGCTGGTACTTCGTGCAGCGTAAACCCGGCGGGGGGGGTGCTCAGGGCTTCCTGGCCTTCTTGAGCGACGCTTGCTTTCTCTTAGCCCCGCTCTGGAGGAGGTTGGGGCTCCTGCTGACCAAAGACAGCCTGGCCTTCTTCCGCGGCAGCGCGGACTGGGGCGTCTTGCCAGACACCCCCTTCTCCGGCAGATCCTTCTGAGGCTGCTTTTTGCCGGCAGGTGCCGCGGGGGACACGGGCGTGGCTCCGTGCACCTGGGACAGCCTCCGCTTTTTCTTCTGCAGCTTTGGGGTCGTGGCAGGAGTGCCGGGGCTGGTGCTGGTGGCGTCTGGGGCCGGCCTCTTGGTGGCAGGTGTCGCCTGGGCCTGGGCTGGCCCCTGGGCCTTCCTCTTGTTCCTCCTCCTCTTGCTGGGAGGCTGGTCCCCCCCGGAGGCGGCGGGCTTGGACTCCTCCTCAGGCGCCGCACCCTCTGACTTGCGCTTCTTGCGCTTCTTGGTCTCTGGCAAAAACCCCTTTTTCTTCCTCTTTGTGCTAACGGGGCTCTGTGTGACGCTGGGGACTTGCTTGGTGTCCTTCTTCTCTGCCTTGGGGCGCCTAGGAGACCGCGTGCCAAGTAAGGGAACATCCAGCGGGGACGGGAGTGACAACCCCGCGCTCCCACGGGACCCCGAGGCACCCACGTCAGAGCGCACGCAGCACGAGAGCATCCCCAGCCCCTCCCAGGACCTACTGGACTCCGAGGGCCTTCATGGCCTGCCAGTAGAGGTCGCAGAGGCGGCTGGAGCCGGCCGCGCGGTCCCCCTGCGGCAGCTTCTGCTGCTGGCTCTGCAGCACTGCCAGCACGGCGGTCAGGTCCACGGTCAGCTTCTGCGGGCAGGGGACATGGTGGCTGCAGCAGTGATCAGACGCGGGAGGCACTCCTGGCTCTGGGTCCCCCGTCCTCCCGACCTCGCTGCCTCTCCTGCCTCACCTCGGAGGGAAGAGCCCCCCCACGCCATGATTGCTCCCGCTGCCCACAGGCACAAGGCCTGACCCCTTGCTCTCCACTCAGGCCTCCCTCTGCTGCAAGCTCACCTTCCTGCTGCGCCCGCCTACCGCGCACTGAATGGGTTAAATCTGAAACCCACTGGCCTCCAGGACAACCCCCCCTCCTCCTGGCTCTTCTTGGCCTCTCTGGGGGCTACTCCCTGGGCGTGCCTGTGGCTCATGTGGCCTTGGCCCAGACCTCTCTTCCCCGTGGCGCCCTGCACGTGGGCTCCAACCACCGTCCTCGCTAAGGACTTGCAGGCCTTCCCTCCTGGACTGGACTGGGAACCGCCGCCCCAGCTGCCTCACGGCCCACGAGCATCTCCCTCCACATGCCCAGCACCCCCTGGGCCTAGACACCTGCCTGCCAGGCCCTTGCCGGTGTCCTCCCATGGGGCGGGCTCACCCTCAACCCTGCCCACGCTCCCTGCTCGCCCACCCGCCTCCTGGCCCGTGCAGGGACAGTCTCCCACCTCCTGATGGACAGTCCTGAAGAGGGTGTTGAGCAGCCCCAAAGAGGACAGTTCTTTCTGCTGCTCCGACTTGGTCTGTGCCTCACCCAGCGTCCGCAGGTTCTAGGGGGAGATGCCCACTCAACACCAAAGCCCCGAGAGAGGGAACGCCCCTGGGGGGCAGCCCAGACCCAGCTGAGGCCCAGGGTGCCAGAGACCCACTCTGGATGGGAATGTGGGCAGGGACCCCATGGCCCTTACCTCCACGACCTGTGCCAAGACCTGGCTGACCAGCTGCTCCCACTCGGGGTCCTCAAAGCACACCCGCAGCTCCCGCGTGGGCAAGGTCTTCTGGAGCAGCATGCAGGCTTGGGCCTGGGGGGCCATGGGGGCCTCAGTGCACAGGCCCGGAGCTCGGGGAGCCACAGGCAGCCCCCACGGGACCTGAGCTCCTGCTCCAGGTCCCAGAGCCTGTCACGGCAGCTTTGGGCACAGCCACCGCCTGGGCCCTCTCCTCAGGCAGGAGCAGTGGGGACAGTGCCCAGCCCGCTCACCAGCTCAGTACCATCCTCCCGGAGCCTCACAAGCCCCCAACCCACCGACCCAGGCCTGCCCGTCAGCCAGGCCCCAGGGGACGGCCAGGTCCGAGTGTGCACGTTAAGGCGCTCGTGCTTCAGGCCACCTGGGGGGGGGGGGGGGGGGGCGCAAAGCTTCCCCTCCCGACAGTGACCCTGTGCCGACGGCAGGGCAGCGGCCGGCCAGGTCAAAAGGGCAGGGGTGGGTCCACCCTCGCAGGGTACCTCCCGGGCCTCCCAAACACCTCGCCCAAGGCGAGTCATGCGGGTAATTCTGACAGGCCCAGGGCTGGGATCCGGGAAGTCCCTACCTGATGGCGGGGCCGTGCCTGGCCCGTCACGTGCTGGATCACGACGGGGAGCAGGCTCTTACAGAGCACCTACGGAAGGAATGACGGGGCCGTGAGCTGGGCGCTGGGCCAAGCAGGGGCCCCGGGAAGGACCGGCCCCCACACCCACCGGGTGCCGGGAGAAGAGGCTGAGGAACATAGGGATGGTGAGTGGGCTGTTGCGCCTGGTCAGGAAGGAGGTCAGCGCTGAGGAGTAGATCGGGGTCACGAGGCTCAGATCCAAGCAGCCGGTAGCCTGCGCCAGGGGAGAGTGCGCCCGTGTGATGCCGGGCCGAGCGCGGGGCAGGGCCGTCCACAGAGGGCTGAGCGCCGGGTCCCGGGAGCCACGGCCTCCACTCCCCCTCCGTGAGCTGGGCAGGTGGTCCCAGCGGCCGAGGCCTCCTGGGCCAGGGCCGGCTCACCTCTGGGCCCTTGGGCTTGGGGCCGGCTTTCTCCTTCTTCTGGGGCTGGCAGACCGAGGCGGCGGCGCCGCCCTTCAGAACGCGGAGCAGATAGAGGGCCGCGTTGAAGTGGTACAGGGAGACGGAGGTGTCGGCCTGGTGGCTAGCCTGCTGCACCAGCCGCCCCACCTGCGCGTACAGAGACCCCACGCCGCGGCCCACGTCGTGGCAGCACTGCCGGGACCGGCACAGGTGTCTGTGGGGCGAAGCGTGGTCACCACATGTCCCCCTCGTGCCCCTCCCCGCCGAGCAGAGCCAGCGCGTCCCCAGTTCACGGGCAGGGAGACAGGGACCGGTCCCGGTGGCAGGGGCAGGCCCAGGATGAGCCGGAGGAGAGACCAGCTCCGGGGCTAAGCCCGCCCCCCGGGCAAACCTGACTCCCATGGCACGGGGGCCTCCGGGCCCTAAAACTCGGGTCTGCGGTGCTCAGGGCACAAGAACTAGGTCACGCAACAACCTCAACCCCGGCAGGCGGCGGGGACGGCCCGCCGAGCAAACGCGACCCGGGGCCGGCCAGGAGACAGGTCGGGGGGTGCGCGCGGTCTGTTCTGCTCCAGCAGCTCCTCCGTGACATGCGCTCGGCACCTCAAGACCCTGGGCCACATCCGCGCGCAGGAAGGCAGATCTGCACCCCCACATCCCCAACAGCCCACCCCCTGCCTGTTCTCGAAGGCAGAGCTGCCCCCGCCAAAGCTCTCGCTGAGCACACCGCTGCGGTCTGGTCCCTGAGGCTCTGCTCCACCCGCGCCTGACCTGTCCCCATCGAGCCACAACCTTCTGCCCTCGCCCGTGGCCTCCGGCCCTGGGGAACGTGACGGCTCCCTGGTACCTCAAGACTGGCTCGGGTGCCCCCACACTCTGGGCTCCTGTCTCCCACCCAGCCCCTGCCACGGCCCCGGTCCCCAGAACCACACGTCTGGCAAGGAGCCTGGGCCGCGGTGCCAGGGAGGGCTGCCCGCCCCGGGGCTGCGGCCTGCACTGGCCGCGACACTCACGTGAAGATGCGGGCCGTCTTGTGCAGGAGGTCCTGCTCTTGCTTGGAGCTGCTGGTGCGCATGCTGCGCCGGATGATGTCCAGCAGGGGCTCCAGGAGCTCCAGGACCAGCGGGTTCTCCGGCTGCTTGGTCACCAGCACCTCGACCAGGGCCAGGACGCGGGGCCGGGCCGGGCAGGTCAGCGGGGGCGGGGCGTGCGCGGGGGCGGGCCGGGCAGGTCAGCGGGGGCGGGGCGGGCAGGTCGGCGGGGGGCGG